CCCTCACTCCTTCTCCTTCCGTTTCTCCTGCAGGGACAGGCTGTCCGCGATGGCACTTCTTGCTTCCAGTGCCCCCTCTGCAGAGATAGGCACCTATTCCTCTCTGAGATGCTCACCATGGGCATCCGAGTCCCCTTCAGGTTGGTGTCCTGCTGCCCGGCTCACAAGACAGAAGGGTGCAAGCTCTGTGCCATACCAGGGGCAGCCCCAGCAGTCCTGACCCTCCGCTGCCCCGTGAGTCTGGGCTTCAGCTTCGTGGAGGAGTTGGAAACAGGGCAGGGGGGAAAAGCAGGGACGCCCTGCATCTGCCTTATGCCGGGGCAGTAGGGGGTCATCAGTTTTCCTTTCTCCATCAGATTGCCATCATGGGAGAACAGCTCCCCGAGGGCTGGCGGCACCGCTCTGGTCTCTCCTGCCCCACCCCTGGGGGGCCGTGCCCTTAACCTTCCTGCTTCCCCTTCCAATCTCCAGCCCAAGCTCGGAGTTGGCCAGCCCCAGCACTGCCAGCCAGGCAGGATCGGGGCCATCCCACGGCTCCCCGGCACCTGCAGCCAGCAGCCCCAGCACCGCCAGCCAGACAGCATTGAGGCAGTCTCTTGGATCTCTGGCATCAGAGACCAGCAGCCCCAGCACCAGCAGCCAGGTGGCATCAGGGTCCTCCTTTGGCTTCCTGCCACTTCAGGGCAGCAGCTGCTCCAGCCCACCTGGGCCCAAGTCGGGTCGAAACCTCTCCTGTTTGCAACATCGGGCCCAAAATCCCTACACATGGCCCAGAAGATGCCATGACTGGAGCTCTGCCCCAGCACCAAGTGCTGAGAGCAGCACCCCTAGCCAGGCGCTGCAGGGGCTGTGCCACAACTCCCCAGCACCTCAGACCAGCAGCCCCAGCACCACCAGCCAGCTGCCATCAGGGTCTTCCCAGGGCTCCTGAGTGCTGGAGAGTGGCAGGGGATCCAGCCCCCATGGGCCCATGCGGATCTGAGACTGCTCCTGCTTGCAACGTTGGGCCCAACATCCTTACAACCAGCCCAGAAGATGCCGTGACATGATGCCAGCACTAAGTGCTGAGAGCAGAATGCCCAACCAGGCATTGCTAGGGCTGTCCCATGGCTCCCCAGCACCCGAGACCAGCAGTCACAGCACCGACAGCCAGCTGCCATTGAGGTGCTCTCATGGCTCCCCAGTGATTGAGAGTGGCACCAGCTCCAGCCCCCCTGGGCCTGTGCAGATGCGAGACCACTCCCGCTTGCAACGTTGAGCCCAAAATTCCTACAACTGGAACAGAAGATGCCATGACATGACACAGCACCAAGTGCAGAATGCCCAGCCAGGCAGTGCTGGAGCCATCCCACAGCTCACCAGCACCCGACACCTGAGACCTAGCACCACCAGCCAGCTGCCATCGAGGTCCTCCTGCAGCTCCCCAGCACTTGAGAGCAGCACCGATTCCAGCCCCCCTGGGCCCTTGCGGATGCGAGACTGCTCCTGCTTGCAACACCGGGCCCAAACTCCCTACAGTCGGCCCGCATGCCGCTGTGGGACCAGCCGTGCGCCGTCTCCCACTGCTGGCCCCGATCCCCCTCCACCGGCACAATAAAGATGGCCGTTAACCTCTGTCCTGCAAGATTCCACACTCGTTTTTCACCTTATCATAGAATCATAGATTGGAAAAGACCTCCGAGATCATCAAGTGTAACAGTCACCCCAACACCACCATGCCTACTAAACCATGTCCCAAAGTGCCACATCTATACATTTTTTTAAACCCCTCCAGGGGTGGTG